GTCCTTAGTACAGCGCTATATGGAGCAGAAGAGTGGTGGCCAGGGCTCACCCAAATCACAACTCAGCGGGGCAAAAAGGTTGGTACAGGAGTAGGCTGGCACACCGATCTCTTTGACAGCACAATCCTGAAGGCAGTTCGAGCGGCGCTACCTGTGTGGCGAACTACACCAAATATGGCGCTGCACAGAGGGTCGGGCATTCCCCCGTCTGCTGTTATCTTACAGCAGAGAAAAATACTAGCGGCCGCACGGATTCAAAGCTTGGACGACTGGTATCCGTTAGTATTCAGGTCTAGAGAGGATCTAAAGGACACACTAAGCCGCCTCGGTCTCCGCATAGGCCAGAAGAACCGGTCATTCAAGTTCCCAGAACAGTACCTCACGCGACATCAGATCAGCTCCAAAAATGTGCTATTGGCCGAAGGACCCGGCAAATTATACTTCCCAAAAGCCGAGTCCATAAGAAAAATTACTGGCAGTGACTTTCAGGATGAAGCAGATTATGCTAAGCAATGGATAGCAAGCCTGTCGGCCGAGACAGTTTGCACTTATTCAGATGGCTCATCATGTGGACCAGCTAGGTCGGTATGGGGGTATACCTTATACAAAGGAGGCCAGGTGATTGGGTGTGACTCTGGTCCATTGCTGGGGGCGGAGGTTTACGATGCCGAAATCTTTGGGGCCCAAAAAGCCCTAGAAAGAGCCTTAGGGAAAGCAGGCAACTGCCCGATCAAGGTGCTGCTTGAAAACACTACAGCCGTGAGAGCTCTAAGAACCGGTCAAATAAAATCTTCCCAGGAAGCAGTGGAAGTATTTACTAGACTGGCACGACAAGCTAGATCAGTTGAGATCCGATGGATACCAGCCAACGCTGGGATCATGGGGAATGAAGATGCAGACAGACTGGCTAAAGAAGCCCTCAGGAACCTACCGGATGAAATGGACACATCCCCCTCAGAAGTGAGGGACAGACCTAAATACACTTTCGCTTCCCTCACTTGGTTTGTCAGGCAAAGATGTGGTGAAGCATTGGAATTCTGGTGGCGAGATCACAGATCGAGCCGCTACGAGGAATTGGATCTCCAGATGAAACGAAAACGTCCGCCGGAACTAGCACTTCCGAGGTGGGCGCATCACCGCCTTTTTGCAGCAAGGACGAGACATGGTGATTTCATAAAATATCATGAAAGATTTGGCCACGAATTTGAAAACTGCGAATGCGTGTGCGGAAGAGAGAAACGCCCTTGGCATTTTGCCGAATGCCGAATTGGTCTACGGCAATGGAGAAACTTGAAGCATGAACCACCACCGAGAGGACGGGAGATGCTGGCAGAAAAGGGTTGGGAAAGATTTCTCTAGTTCTTAACAGTAACTAAGTGTTACGAGAGGCAAACACTATACCGGAAGGATTAAGTCCTGCCGAAATAGAAGTTTTTCAGGACAAAGAGTCGTGAGGAAGGAGGAAAGGCGCAGGGCGCTTAATTTTCTTGGAACTTATTTCTTTATTTATGTTTTGCGTATAGGTTTGACAAGCAAACTATGTACTTAGGTTATAGTGTGTCCCGAGGGAGCATAGACCCGTATCACGCCTATTGGGTGTAGGACGTAAGCCTGATACGAAATGAATTCAAATCAAATCAAACTCGGGTTTCCCGTCAAAACGGAGTGTTGAAATACAGGGCTAGTCCTAGTAATCAGTATTAACATTTGTCCTTTATGATGATTAGACCCACTATTATAGTATAAATGTGGCAAAGCTCCCCGAGCCCCTGATAGAAGTTAGTTTAGCCAGTATACTCTTTTTATATGCTTGTCTCCAGATCTCAGCTCTACCATTTGACCATCGGTGGCAGGACATAATGATATGCTTTGAGTTCTACGATACGTAGCTACATAGACGACCTAGAGGAAGCAAAGCGTGGCGCACAAATCTGGAAGACAGTTCTTTGGGATGGACGTGAGAGGGATCAGGACAAGTTTACAAGATGATACAAAAGAAGGATATTACCTCGAAGTGCGTGGAATTCCGAATTTTGGCAAGAGTTTTACGAAATGAACTTTGTGCGCGCCAAGACTTCGCTTGCGAGAGTGCAGCTGACACTATAAAAATAAGCAGACAATGGAAGGTGTTGTGATCCGCCTCCTGGTGGTGTTCTCTGGTATAGTTTGAGTAGCCTCCGCACCTACTCCACTCGGGAAGGAGACATCTCAGAATACATTTCGCGCGGAGAAAAGTTAATGGTTGATGGAAGCATGTCTGGATAACTCAGGGTTTTTGAGACGTTCCCCTGGGTGGGTATTCACGGATGAGGGTTGACTTGGGGTGAAGAAAAAGCCACCATAACTTCGCAGTAGTACCCGCAAATGAAATCCGAGGCATGAGCGCTCCTCTTGAAGATTGAGTCATCTTATCTGTACTTTTCTTTGATATTGTCTCATAGCTAGATAGCTGCATACGCAATTAAAATCTGATGCAAAATAAAAAGTATAGGTTAAACCTCGGCCGGCTCCACCGGTCCTACATCTAAATAGATTGAAGGCTACGGCCTAGGACTTAAAACTAGAATAAATAAATAAGAATGTTAGCAGATGTACATTTAAGTATAATCAGCTCTAATTATGTATGCAAGAAAAAAGGCTCTAGTTATGCGGTCATGTAATATATGAGGACTAGGAGTTATACAGGCATTGAAGATGATCCGTGCGTACATAAACATAAGAAGGACAGTCTTTCCGGTTGAACCTAGATAAAGAACCTAGGTGATTTATTTATAATAAGAGATCGAGCCAATAAAGTTCGCAGTATGCAGTTATATAGCTGTGACAGATGACCGGTGCTATGTATACATGATGGATGACTCTTTTGACGTTAGAGACACTCATACTCTGGGTTTTTTTTGCAAATACCACTATTAGGTATGCTTGCTTACTCAAACAGTCGACCCTCCTCCGTAAGTACCCACCAAAGGGAATTTCAAAACCTTTAGTTATCCAGACATGCCTCCATGTCCACTGAATTTCCTCCGCGCGAAATTTTGTTGTTTTGCCGGATTCGAACCAGCGATCTCCTGTCTCAAGTGGGATTTGTGTCCTAGCTATTCAAGCTCTGTTTGAAGACCTGCCAAGACGATGTACCACCGCACCATCCAGCCATGACGGTGTTTATAGTGTCGCCTGCACTCTCGCAACCGAAGACTTGGCACGCACAAAGCTCAATTTGTAAAACCTCCTTGCCAAAATTCGGAATTTCACGCCCGTCCAGAGAATGTATCCATTCTTTGCATCATCTTATCAACTTGTCCTGATCCCTCTCACGTCCATCCCAAAGAACTGTCTCCCAGATTTGTGCGCCACGCTTTCCCATCTCCGTCGGGTATAAATATCGGCGTGGGCGTGTATTTGGTGACCGGCTGAGGCCAGAGAAGGTCGAAGAGTGGTGTGGTCATTGGAATGAGGATGTACTTGGTCGTACTTGTAGGCTTGATGAGACTTAGGTAGGAGTCAAACTCGTTGGGAGCGAAAAAACGACGTGGAGGAGTAATTTGAAACATTACCTCATGAGCCAACTTCTTTGATATTGCGAAATTTGACTGAACTTGGCTCTGGAAGAATGTTTCACTCTGAGGCTCTTTTTTTTTTTTTTTTCAATCATTTAATGTGTATTCAGCTATCTAGCTATGACACATGACCGGTGCTATGTATACATGTGGGATGACTCTTTTGACGTTAGAGACACTCATTCTCTGGATTCCATTCGCAAATACCACTATGAGGTATGTTCGCTTACACAAACAGTCGACCCTCCTCCGTAAGCACCCAACAAAGGGAATTTCGAAACTTTTGGTTATCCAAGCATGCCTTCGTCATCCATGCATACCAGCGCCGCGAGAAATGTGGTTGTGTTTTGCTGGATTTGAACCAGCGATCGACTGTCTCAAGTGGGATATGTGTCCAAGCTATCCAGACTCTACTTGGCAGACCGGCCAAGACGATGTACCACCGCACCATCCAACCATGGCGGTGTTTCACTCCGAGGCTCGTAGAGCACACCAAGTACAAGTGTTCAGTCTTGCCCTTATGAGATTGGTGCAGCTGGAACGTAAGCAAGAGATAAAATGGCGTTTGTGGCTTGGTATGTTGACGTGTATTGTGGAAATAATTGTAGTAACTTAAACATAGTAAACAGGACAGAACAACATGGAATACAATCAGAAACTTCTTTCCACTGTCAAGTAGTGCTATTAAGCCCATTCTAATTTCTTGATAATCATTACGGTCTTTCCCAAGCGTCGTGCATAAATTGAGAGATGTATAAAGTGCGAGGGCGACCACAGAATTTGAGCCTGCGGATGAAAATTATCTTCTAATAAAAAAATGCTAAAAGATCGTGGCAAATGGCCTACAGGATCTTAACAGTTTAGTGTGGAAGTCTAGAATTGGCTGGGATTGAACCTTTACATAAACTGCAGATATCCACATAGATTATCCAGTGCGTGTAGCGAAGAGATTAAAAATAGAAATTGACTTTGTGGATGAAGGCGATAGAACGGTTGCATGTAGGAGTTCAAAATTACCTTTAAGTAGCCCAATCACTCAAGTAATAGAGGCTTCAACTATTCTCTGTCAAAGAGCCAGTTCCCTTCGGTTCACATTCTTACCTTGACATATTTCTTATTAAGGAATAAATAGCTCTGACATGGAATCTTATCATTGAAAGATAGATGGACGCTCTCGGTTTGCAGCAAGGAATTATTATTGTGAGGGAACGAGGACTTTTTCTCTGGAAACTACTTCCCCATTTAAATCAAGCATTCGTTCTCGTGAGTATATATTGTGCAAATTTGGTCGATTATGAACAAGGTGATATATATTTCAAGCCTACTTGAGTCAAATGGTATTTTTGCCAACTCCATCCCCATTGCTGTTATATCTTATGGTCAACCTTGCGGGCCTAGTTGTTTTCAACTCCAAACGCCTTAATATAATTGTTCGGTATCTAATCAACGCCGAGCACGCTTGCTAAAACTACGACTATTGTATCTTTCATCACGTCCGCGATGTTGACTACGTTCTACTCGGTCATCTCGCTGAGGCCGAACTGTTTCCTCTACTTCAATTTCATATTCTTCATATTGAGTCTTGAAATATTCGGATACTTTCTCTTGCTCTCTCTTTGCCTGTTCAGCGTCTAGTATGAAACGTATTGTTCCATCCTGAGTACGAGCCGCCGCATTGCGTCTACTAGAGTCGGCTGATGTAGGACTAAGTGTCACAGGTGAAACTATATTTCCATTTTTGCGTACTTCAGAGGGGCTTGAAGGTGTTCTTGGAGTGATAGGTGTCTTTTTGAAATTGTTAATTTTGGGCGGCCCATGGAACTCTGTGTAGCGGTTTTTGGAGGAAGTTTGCTCAACTTCTTGATTGAGGGCGATACGAATCTGAATAAAACGGTCGATATTGTGAAGTGGCCCAACGATAGATGATTTTTGAAAATGGGTATATAGGTCTAGTAAATCCAATAACGTTTCCAATATTTCTGGTCTAGTTGAAGAGCATCTTTCGTATAGATAACGTAGCTTACTGCTTCTAATTGGGACACCTTTCGGATTCATGACAAGAACCGCAAGCTCAAGGCATGCAAAGCACATCGTAGCACTAGTCTGCTTCAGGGGAGCAAAAGTACGATACAAGTCAATCATGATATCATAGGCAACAAGATATGTAGCTTTGCTAAGCTTAGCTTCTTTCGCTATTTTCACAAGATGTTTCTGCGGCTTTCTCACACGAAAGTCAAAGCCAGAGGCTTCCAACATGAGACGTTCAAGTCCAATAATAACTTTCGAAAGACCCTCAAACATCTAGCTTCATCAGTATTTTCTTTTCATAATCATTTTTGTATTGGCTCACACTATCATCAGAAGTTAGATGCTCAGAAGGTGAAACTTTAAGATTGTGCGCGGCGCATAAAATCTCTCTCGACTTTTTTAGGGTATCTTCTATTTTGCAAGCGGTTAAGAGCGCGCCAGCCGCAGCATCTTGATATTGGTATTCGTTATCTTTGTGTACAAGTCGAAATTTGTGGTAGTAAGTTGCGGCGGTACAATAGGTACGGACAGGCCTTAGAGTCGTTAATTAAGTGCGCCATCTGATGTTTTGAGAGCTTACAGCTGGAGAGAATTCCGAACATCCCCTATCCATTGGGTGCCCAAAAGTCTAAAGTTATCTTCACGGGTTGGATTTGTTCCATTGCTAATAAGTCGGCTTTGAATTTGTTGCTGAAACAAATACTGATTAGAAACTCGTATTCGAGATAAGAGAGGATTAACGGCTAAGTTGTTCTGAGGCTCCGATGATGCGCCGTTACTGTTGGACTGATTGGCAGACGGAGCCATAATATGAGAATTGTTCGTTGTATGAAGGCCTGCACTGTGGACAGCGATAAGGGATGCAGTCAGAGCCAGATAGTGGGCACCGCGCCATACGGGACCCTGCAAAATTTGCGTAGGTGTGATATGTGAGGAGTAGGATAACACGAGTTTTCCTTGGACTTTTTTTCATGAGATGGCTCAGATGGTGCAGTGGTACAATATTCAGGCTGGTCTCTCAACTTGGGTTGCACAGCTTGTATTTTAACCCTACTCGAAACAATTGAATATAGATTTAAGTACGACGACGGTCCACCATATTTCTTAAAGTTCTAAAGCACAGTATGACGGTGTCTGACCACCCACCGAAGCTAACCATAATCTAAAGGTTATAATTGCTATGTAAGATAAAAGAAGAAATATATCTTACCGCAGGCAAAGACGAACTCTTCACCTTCCAGTGGTGCCAGTGTAATCGCTCAGTACGCTCTGCATATCTGGGATATACAAGAAGAATCGAATCTGAATCGAAGTCGAAAGCAACCTCAAGAATATCTCCATTTGACGACTTCTCGACAATTCCTCTCACATCTTTATCATCTGAGTCCTCAAACTCTTTCTAAGCACGGATCATCTCGTCTCAACGACCAATACAGGAGTTGCTACAATTGCAAACAGGAGCTTGTCCCACTAACTTCCAGCCATCTCTCACTATATTTAAGACGCTGTTTATGCTCGCAAGGAAGAAACCAAGTCGAAAAATACAAAGCCTAGGCCCTGGCTTACGGGTGACTGTTGCTCTAATGGTACAAAAAAATTGAGGGAGAACAGGCGCCTTAGATGTGGAGCGAGAGAAGGAACAGGTCTGAATGACATGCTCGGACCGATATTTTCAAGTGGTTTTCAACTTTGGAACGTTTGCGGGCGCCAAGACCGAGATTCCGGCTAACTAGCCAGGACTTCAATTGTCGATGAGTCAACGGCACTCCACAGCGCCCTGGACAGTATATAAGAAGTTAGGTCAAGCTACAATCCAGCAATCACGCTCTATCAAGACTTTTCTGACATTTCAGCAAGTCCTTCGGGAAGGAGTTGGAAGGAGGCTAGAAAGGCAGAGGGTAAATTTCCTGTGGTACCCACAAATCTGCAGCGCCCAGTTGGCCGGCCTCTTCGAACGCAACTGAAGGATCACTATGTCTTCGGATTAATTCCTAATGTCGGTATTAGGAGAGCTCCGCACCCAGTGGTTTTTTTGATTTTTCCCGGCTGCCATACACCCGCAAATGGCTATTGTTCTGTTGGCTGGAGAGGGGAGATAATGAAGGGCAAAGGCCTCTTCTTAGTGTATGATCGAATGAGGAGTTATGAGGGGAGCTGTATGGGAGACATAGGAGGGGATATACAACTGGTATAGGTATCCTTGGCCTGTAGGCAGAGAGGACTTGCATGCCCTACATAATCATAGACCCAGACAGGACAATTTAATGAAATAATAAATTAAAAAAACTATTCCCCCTCCTACCCGGGTGTCGGATTCTGTCTATAGATGTCCGCCGTCCGAGTATGCTACTAGGTCTTGGAATGGAATGGTCTCTTGGGGGCAGAAAGATGATCTAGTGACGCGTCTGGTGCTCGTGTGCTAGCTCTCTTGGATGTGTCATGGAGGTAGTTTTTGAGGGACCAAGACGCAACTAAAATCTAATGAGACAAACAAAATAGGAAGGTGAAATCTGGCATAAAAATCGTGTGACGTAAATGAGGATAAACTCGCGATTCCCCCTGCGTTTGCCATACAATTATCCACCAGATATTGAGTTCTTTCACACTACACCACTTCCTCAATCATTCCCAGCGTCAGTTTACACCAAGTCTAAGTTCCAAGGGCTCTACACCTATCAAGAGAACAACTCTATTGAGCATATACTCCAGAAATGCAGAAAAAGGATCAGCAAAGACTCTACCTCTAAATCAGGTAGATTTCACATCTGAGCTCTGGTGCTTTCAACTAACTCAATAGTTATTGAATGACGTTTTTCGATTTCTCTACATACGCCAGTCCATTACAGGGTAAATAGAAGATGGTGGAGCTATGTAGGATATTGAAGAATACCATGTTCAGTGTCCTTGACGGAATTGATGATCTCTGTGACGGAAACCGAGTTGGTGATGAATAAATCGATTTAACAAACTAAATGAGGAGAAAAGCTAACTCTAGCTACTACTAACAGGTATTTACAAGAGTTAATCCTCCTCGTGAATCTATAGACAAGTGACTTGTCCTTAGGCACAATACTTCTTAGCCAGCCACGTAATTCCAGGTATCACTAAGTTGTCATAATACTTCATCATCCTGACTATTAGTGCCGTTTCGTTCAGCTTTATCTCCCCCCCTTACAGCCTCATCGTAAGAATTCTTAGTATCAGGCTTAGGTATTCACCTATGCTCAAACAACGGTCAAACCGTAACAGTCTCAATATGTTTGACCAACTTATTCAAAACATTCTAGACAATTAGAGTGTGCGAGATATTTTACAATTAGCCATTGAACTTGGAACTGAATATACAACAATATCATCGTCGGCTCGAAAGGATAGTCTCATTGTTGAGCGGATTGGTTTGCAAAAGCTTGTGGCTGTTAGGCACAGATTGTATCACTTGGTGAAGCGAGTGGGAAAGTAAAGGAGTCTGTAAATCTGTCGTGGAGAGTTGTTAATTACTCCCACTAGGACACAGAGTGCTATATAAACTATATTTTGTAATAATAAAATCTAGTGGTTGGTATTTACGTCAAAGCGCATTAATACTAACCTCACAATTAATGGGAGATTAGTGACGTGTATTCTACACATCCCTGTCTTTACCATAATTGGAAGCACCAATTTCGACACGCATGACATTGGAAAGAAACACTATAGAAAGATCAGGTTTCCTCAAGTTTGCCCAAGAATTGGAAGATGTTTTGAAGAAAGAATTACAAGATAACATTCTGTGTTATCCCGAATTTTTGGGATAATTTCTTCGTAGGAAAGGAATGGACTGACCAGGCTTCCCGAATCTGAGAAAGCTATAAAAAGTATGAGGTTGCTGAGAAGCAACTAAGATCAAAGGAACTAGAGGGAAAAAAATCCACAAAAGATGTCGAGGAACAGAAAATACTCCACGGAGCCAGGGAAGAGAAAATCCTCGAAAAAAACATGACAGAAAGTGAGATATGGGACTGGATCTACTTTGAGGAAAACTTCTTGAATCAGCTCAAATGCCGCTTTTCAAGATCAACTAAACACCCCGTAGTAATAGAAAGTAAGGGCTCTCTTATACGAGGACGTTACAGTCGCACAAATTGCACGCAACGTGCCCAAAAGTCTACGGGTAAGACTCAGATTGACTTCCTGATTAAAAGTGTTGATCTACTCAATGATAATATTGATTGGAAAAACATGAATGTCGGAGGTGAGTGCTCAATATTACCTAGTGGACAAGTGAGGAAGAACAAGTTTCTCCAGCTTTCTAGATGTGTTCGTGAAGCATATTGTGGTCAGCCCCTGCGTCGGTTTATGCACGGATTTCTCATGTTCAAAGAGGAATTTGAACTCTGGGTTTTTGATCGCTCGGGCAGAAAAAATATAGTAGGTGCCAAGGAGATATTTGTGCGCGCAATATGCATGTATTTACTTGTGAGTGATGAAGAACCCGGCCGTGACTTGTCAATCTTGCAGATCGACGGACATTCAGCAGTAAGAATCAAAGGAAGTAATCATGACCCGTCCCAGCTATTTGAGATCAGACCTTATCCTGTTGTAAGACCAAGGAGCCTGATCGATCGAGCCACAACCTGCTATGAAACGAAGAATAAATCGTCGATGATTAAGTACTCGTGGAGCAGTTCTGAGAATAATGCTGAAGTTCAATTTATGAAGGATACACTTACAGCACCCGGTGTTGTGAAATATATAACATTAGATCTAGTCTACTAGACTGGTAATCACCTGGGAAGCCTCAATCTTTCTGACGCCCAGCCTTGGGATTTGAAAGCTGAAGACAATATAATCTCCCCAGGCTCTAATCACCACAATATGACCCTACAATCTTTGGAGAGAAATCGCTTTCTCTTCAGGATTGCTATGACACCATGCGCACGAAAAATTTACCCCAGTGGTTCGATCGTTGCTTTTTTCGTCGGAATTCGAGATGCAATCAAGGCCCACTAGGCGCTTGTCTATAAAAATATCCTACATGGAGACATCTCGGATGGAAATATTGTTTTGATAGACCCAATTCTAGATAAAGACATCCATGGTATGTTGATCGACTTTGACTGTTCGGTGAGGTTGAGAGAAAATGTCGTTGAGGTCGATGAACGGTACTTCATAGGCACCCTGAAGTTCATGGCAATTGAGAGATTATATTTGCATGGAGAAACAAAGTCTTTTATCCGACGAACTTATTGCCATGATCTAGAATCCTTTTTCTATTGTGACGGCTTGTAAGCCGGTTATTGCCTGTAGCCTGCGCTGTCTAACGCAGGCTTAGCATGAAACAAGGAGGGCCTTATAAGTGGCAATACTAATATTGTAACACGTCCGGGGATGGGACACGAGAATATGATACGAGTAGGGGATACAGATATACAGACAGAAATATGTGTCATTGGCTGGGATAATAATCATGTATAAAGTAACTGTTATTATCCTCTTCAATCTGTAGTTCACCATAGATTGATATTAAAACTATCTCTGACCATAAGGTTGCCCAAGTGCCTATGCTTAGACTGTGACACCTATGTGTTCACTGTAGGATCCATAGAATATGAACTCGTCACAGACGGGAAGCCTCATAATCTGGATGATTGGTGTGTGAATATATTTAAGAGCTGCTACTCAAATAAACGTATTCATATGTATGAATTCACTAAGATCCTCAAAAAGTTCACGCCCAGTTTCAAAGAACTTAAGAAGTTAGCTAAGAATTTACGAATGATTCTATTTGAAGCGGATGGAGGCTATAAAACAGCCCCTAAAGATCGTAGATCACTGTACAGGAGAATGATTGAAGCATTTGATGACACAATTGAGGACCTAAGAGGTAAGACATATTTATCAACGCATGATAGCATTCTTCTTTTTAGCTCGAGCTTTGCTGACAAACTATTTACTTTAAGCTGGAAGGATCAAGAATCCAACTTTTATTGCACGTTGATAATAGATTACTGTGTAGGCCATTGCCGTTATGGCTTTGTATATCTGACCCTCGGGGCCTCTAATACTATTGTTCCTTTCAGGTATTGTGTTGTGATCCTACATACGCACGGACCAAATTTAAATTATATAAATTATGTATATATGTTGAAATTATGGAGTACAGTGATAAGTCAGGTGATGGTTAATGGAAGTAATTGATGAAGGGGGGTTATTTTTTTTAATTATATTAAAGTCCTAAGCTAAAGCTCTAGGTCCACTACAGGTACAAGACTGGTGGAGCCGGCGGGGATCACTGCTTACAGGCCCAACTCATTCCAACCGCTGGACTTGCTACAGAAATAGTAGCAAGTAAATTACGACGCGGACACCACCTACTCCAACTCCTAGATCAAAAATCAATCCTTTTCCCTAAACCCAAATAACTACAATCTTTCCTCAGAGAAACGACACTTCTCGCCTCGTTCCCTTTCTTGTCATGTGTTGTGGCAATGACTAGTTAATCTGATCTCCGCTGAGAGCAGTGGATGAGTGAGCAGGTCGTCTATCAAAACAGCCGGTCTCCTGCGCAAATGTTTTGAAGCTTTCGTGGCATTTGGGCCCGAGAAGCTTTTTGATAAATTCAACGTGGGACATTGACTTTCTGAGCCTACGCGTGTGTTGTGCGTGGCGGCTACAGTGAATGAAGTGGGTTGGAGTAGTTTCCTTCCCGCAAGAGCACTCCATAGGAGCGTGTAGGTTATCAAAACGGCGATTGTATGCCGCAAAATTGCCGTGACCCGTTCGGGCTGCAATTAATTCTCGGAGCAGGTGCCTGGAGAGAGCTAGTTCGGGTGGTTTGCGTCGCCGAACCTGTAAGTTGAGTTGGCGGTATTTAGGCGGACAAGCCTCTATCCACCAGTCTTCCAGCAATTTTTGCCGCCGGTGATTCATGAGACCACGAAGATATGCCAGAGTACATGATCCTGGTGGTGTATCCTGGCTAGGTAGCTCTCGAAGGGTGGCACGGGCAATGGTGTCTGCCTCTTCGTTCCCTTGTATCACTGCGTGCCCTGGCACCCATTTCACTGATATTTTTGCCTTGTTGGATGACGCACGGAATTTGCGTACATCTTCAAGGCTAGTTGAGGATGAGCCCGTCGTTATTGCGCTTACAGCCTGCTGGCTGTCTAGAAACACGTGGATTTGCTGCGACCCTCCTACTTTCCTAGACTTTCCGTTATCCAAGAACTCCAGTGCGGCTTCTAGAGCCTTCCTTGCTCCTATTATCTCTGCATCCAGCACCTCTCCCCCGTGCTTGATGCCACTTCCTTTGCCTATGTCTTTCCCATCCTTTTTCAGAAAGAAACCCCAGGCAGAGCGTCCGTGTCCTTCCGATGAACCATCTGAGTATGCGCAGATGTCCGTTCCCGTTACGTTATTGATCCATCCAACGCAGTCATTGCGTTCCGTCAGCCTTGAGCCTAACTTTTTAGGGTAGACTACCGGCGCCAGGGCCTCGGAGGCCTCTGCTTCCGGGAGCTCTCGTTGAGCACGCTGTAACCGTGACATTTGAATCTCTGGTCTGGCAGAGAGTTTGGCGGCCTTTTTGTACTTTCGAGTGCCGACATTCGGGCACACGGAAGCGCGGATCCTCAACGGGTGTCTATCATTAAGGGTCTTAAGCCTTGCCGAAAGTCGGAGTCGGTTTCCCTCAAGTATGACCTTTGCCGGCGGGATTCCTCCTTCTCTGTGAACGGCTACGTTTGGTGTTGTCTTCATCATTGGCAGTGCAGCCCGCAATCCCATCAGGTTAGCTTTGTCAATCATGCTGCAGAGGTTTGAGGTAGATGACGTGACCATTCCTCGTGTGGTTGGGCGTTTGGACCCTGACCACCAGACATCAGATCCAAAAGTTGCTAGAGAGACAATGCACATGTCTACTGCGCCGACTAACGGCCCGGGGGCTGCTCCCCGAGAGGTAGAGTTGAAGCGGCGCGTATGCTGTGCAGCTTTCATCGCTTTGCCGCACCAGGTGGTTACGTGGTGTTTGAAATTGAGTCGCGGATCCAAATGTACGCCAAGCCAGCGAATGTGATCAGCGGGCTCGATGGGATTTCTATTTACGTGAACCCCAACTGCTTCTTCTCGGCGTCGTCCTGGGAATTGGATGACTTGAGACTTTTGCGATTCGAAGGCAACAGCATTTTTCCCTGCCCACTCGAGAAGATGGTCTACCTCTCTTTGTGCAGCGCCGGCAGATTCAGCAACTGTGCGTCCAAACCCCAGAATTCCAATATCGTCGGCGTAGCTAAACCTCGATCCTGGGCTGCCTCTTTGCATCGGCTCCGCCATGTACAGAAGGAATAGTGATGGCGAAATTGGTGATCCCTGGGGGACTCCGCAGACCAGCTCTTTCTGTGTGGTGACTCCACCGGAGAAACGCACTTGTACCTTCCGATGTGTGAGGAATGAAGTCGTCCATCGGAGGATCGAGTCTGGCCATCCCTGGGCTTGCATGCGTCTAACCAAGCGATTGTGGAGCACTGCATCGAACGCTCCTTGGACGTCTAAGGTCACGAATGTCGAGGCCCATTCCTGGGAGCGTGCTTCTTCGACGTCATGGACTACGCGGGAGACCAGGTCCGTTGCAGATCGCTTTGGGAGCGCGCCGAATTGTTGATGGCCCACCACATCGTAAATGATTGCGAGGTGTGCCATTCGCTTGGCCAGGAGTCTTTCTAATCCTTTGCCTTGGCACGAGAGTAGAGCGATTGGTCTCCAACCTTTGATTGAAGTTGGATCCCGATTTGGCTTTTCCAATAGTACCACTTCTGCAAGTTTGAAGCAAGATGGATGCGGGCCTCACTTCTGCAGGTCGCGGTAGTGCTGGAACCGTGATGCGCTTCTCGGGTGCGACGACGGTTTTTCTGGGGGATCCGGTGGGATCCAAGACTTGCTCTGCGTCTTCTGGGCTGGAGGATGCCCAAACTGAATCGGCGAGGGTTTTTAACTTCTCGACTTCTGCGTCCACCATCTCTACCTCGGGGACATCGTTCTCCTTCGCTTGGAGCGCTGCCGCGATGGTGTTCATATTTTGAAGATTGGACTCGAGTCCTCGCCTTGTTAGCATGTTCTTTGCGTGGTTTTGAATGGCGGTACGCCATTGATAAGGTTTGTTGACGCGATCTTTGGTGATGCCGCTGATCGCGTTTTGGTGCGTTTTACGTGTCGGAGGCATTTTAAAATGCCGCCGATGGCAAAAAAATGCGATTCGATCCGTTCCTTGGAGGGTGAGATAGATAAAAGGGTGGGAATGGGCAAATTGGGGGCTTCTCGAATTGTTTTGATGAAGGGTTTGGTTGTTGAGTTTTTTATCGACTTTAAAACTGGTTGTCGACATTGTAGATGTATGTCTGTTATCACTGACATTGGAAATAATTCATGAGATTGCTTAATGAGAGGCTAGTATTGATTCCGATATAATATTATAGAAGACTTGTCCCAACTATCAGAGGGCTACAACGTCTTTATCTATCTACAGGTAAATTCCCCATATTCCAACCACGCTAGCCATACAGGACGTAGCATGTAAAGCCTGATTCGTATCATCATTTTGGGTTTGAGGTCTACCGTGCATATGCTTCTCGAGTCGCATGTCTGACTACTATGCGACACGCTTAGGTATCAATCTAAAAACCCACACCAAAACCGAAACTACTCACAACCCTGATGATGACCCCATGAATAATTGGAACAGTAGCCTGCAACATAGCACAATTAGGCTAGACATCGTTGACCAGGACCTAATCCGAACAGTTTTCTATTATTTCTGTGTTGGGATACACTTTGTCGATCCTACTAGGCTCGATAATTAGTAGTCCAGACCGACTGGTGTTTGGCGAACGGAGATTGCGTATACCCTGTGCTAGCGTTGTTTACTGCTGTTGATAGGAGATCCCGCACGGGCTATCTTTTGGGGTTAAAAGGAGTCTGGTACCTGTGTTTAGAGGAGTTGTCGAATGTCACGGATTCTAGGACAGGTGCTGGGGCAACTATGTGGTTGATGGTAGTAGATAATAATTCTAAGGATAGAACTACTACAAGATCTATCTACACATGTATATATAAAAAAGAGCCTCATGTTCTACGACGTCATTGCACTTTCAATTGAGGAGGTTGTGTCCGATCTCGTATATTCCCAACCGATCGCTTCTCACCGACAAGTGGTGCCATGTTGAGCTGCACTGTTGAATCGGATGCTATGCAGATTCCGATGCTCCGATATTAGATCGATCGATCGTGCGCACCCTAAATCGGACCTAGCCTATGTTAGCCATCATAGGCTACAGGAACCAGCCGTCACAATCTCCCTCCTATCTTTTACTACTTTGCACGCCGTCTCTGTCGGTGAGACTCAAGAGTTTTATTCTCAGGAGGACCGACGTAGGCTCCCGACATTGTATCATTGGGCCCATCATTTGTGTCTATTGGACCGTAAAGTTCTTCGAATTTTTGTAGTGCAATTGTATCTTGTACATATTCAACAGGCTCCCAAGAAGGGTCAGCCCAGCCTGTCCACTTGACCAGTGCTTGACGGTAGCGTCCTCGTCCGCGTCGTATGTTTCGAGCCCTCAGGATTGCTTCAACTTCGTATTCTGGCTCCTCCGAGTCGTCAATAATTGGTGGGTTTTGTGGATCGTCCCTTGTTTGACTTGGGAAGGGATCATCTCCTGCCCGTTTGATAAGTTCCACATGAAAGTGTTTATGAATGTTTCCGGGGACATTTAGCTCTACTGTGAGGGCATCTGGTACTACTGTTATCTCATACTTGGCATGAAGCCACGCAAGTTTCTTCGAGAGCTGAGGTGTTTTAATATTGCGTAGGTTTAACCAAACCTTATCACCAACGTGGAATCTTTCAGGTTGTCGCCGTAAACGATTTGTATTGCTTTCATTCCTCTGTTGTGCTGATGCCATTGCTACCTGCGCGAATTCTTGTGCGTTTCTCAACCTTTCAACGTATTTGTTCGCGCATATTTGACCCGAATGTCTTGAAGTTTTCTCATGAGATGCCGTCGGTTCTGCAATTGGTTCCAAGTCGTACCCATGTCTAAGAAAGAACGGACTTATCCCTCCAATCGCTGAGTTAGGGCGAGAGTTTAATGCCAGTTGTGCCATTGGTAATAGGTCCATCCAGTCGGTCTGCGCGTAGCATGAAA